CCAGAACTTCGGCCACGCCTGGTGCTGGGACAGCAGTTTTGCCTGTGACATAAGGTGACGACGCCCATCCTGCTGCCAAGAGCAAGGGCATGAGGTAGATGCAGCGCCGTGAACTTCCCCTTTCAAATGGGCTCACTGGGCACTTTCTCCCGAACCCTGTGTAAAGAGTCCAGCAGGTCCCATGTGTTTCTGCTCCGGGTGAAACAGCAGGATGCCCCGCGCTCAGGTTAGGCCACACACGCAGTCCTGATACGTCGCAGATAAAACATCATTCCCGAGGCTCAGACCCACCTTCTTCCCGCCCCTGGTTCGGCCATTCCGGGGTCCCTGTGTCCCTCAGACATGGCGCCTGCTTCCTCCCGAGCTCTGGGCTGTGCACCGCTGTCCCTGCCCCACCTCAAGGAGGCGCCTCTCACTGTCCAGACACTCTCCACTCGCTGTCCCATTTCATTTTGAAGCCCAGCAACTGAGAGGCCACTTGAGGTCACTGTCCTGAATACACAGCCCAGGCCAGCAGCGGGCTGCAGGTGCCCGGAGAGGACAGTGTTGGCTGTCCCGGGGGGGCTGGCAGAGAGACTCGGCTCCACTCGCAGGGGGAGCAGAAGTGTGAGCAGATTTCCCCTGGAAGTGCTGTCAGCACAGGTAGCGAGATGTTTATAAAGGAAGGGAGCAAAGGGAATCAGACGTCTGAGCACTGTCCACTAGGGGGCGTGAGTCTGCTTCACCAGGAAGTACAGCTTCACCCACCCGCACTAGTCCACTCCTCACCACAGACCACTGGGGGAGGGACAGATCCACGGTTGGGGGGTGTTGGGGGCCAGCACATGTGCAGTGGCAGCCAAAGAGGCCCATCAGCCTGGCCTGGGGAGAGGATCGGGTCTGAAAGGGGCAGAACCCAGGAGGGTCTAGGAATGGATTAGTTAGAGGGCAGGGTAGAGCCCACAGAAGTTTGGGAAGCTGACTGGTTGTTTTGAAGAAGCACCTGATACTTCCCAAGCCCGAGGCAACATAATCCCAGTTGAACAAAGAAAGAATCAATCTCCCCCCCCCCCTCCTGGTAACACACACTTGCCTCGCTTTCTCTCCTCAGCGGCCCTGAGGCCCCAGTGGCCACCTGGGGCCTGAGCACGGTGCCCGCTGGGAAGAGTCTGAGCCAAACTGAGACAGACACAGACTGAACCGATGGCACAAAATGCCAGCTGGTGTGGCTCAGTGGATTGAGCACCAACCAAAGCGTCGCTGGTTCAATTCCCAGTCAGGGGACATGCCTGGGTTGCAGGCCAGGTCCCCAGCAGGGGGTGCACAAGAGGCAATCACACGTTGATGTTTCTTTCCCTTCTATCTCCCTCCATGCCCCTCTCTAATAATAAATAAAATCTTTAAAAAAATAAAGGTTTTGTCCCAAGAAAGTGACACGTGTCCAGGACAGCTACACTGGTTGGACTGAGCAAGACAGACCTCCACACACCCCCACTTCCTGCACCACGGCGGGAGCGCTGCGCTCAGGCCTGGAAGCCCCCAGTGAACTCTGCAGTTAAACTCATCTCCTCATTCGGGCGCGGGCACTGAAAATACGCCCCGGACTTGGAAACGCCATTCGACTTTATTCATACTAACGAAATCTGGGGCAGGGGCACGCAAGGGCCCGGCCGGGAGCCAGGGCCCGCGTGGGCGATCTGACCTTCACGCCTGAGCTCCCTGCCCCGGAGCATTTCTGGGCAGGAGGGCCCACCGACTGGAGTAGATGAGTAAGTCGGCCTCAGGCAGATCCATCCACATTCCAGATGAAATATGAGCATCACACCATCAGCGACGGACGAGAACGACACTCGGTGCTGCGTGAGGCGGTGCTGGTCACTCCATGAGCCACTGCACTCGGGGACCAGGGGCGCCCTGGGCCGAGTCGGGGCGCCTGCGCGCCCCACCTCTGCCCGCGTCCTGAAACCCTGGGGTGACGCCTGTGTTTTGTTTCAGGAATTACTGGCTCCTGGAGTGCGAACTTCCTGCTTTTTTTCCCCCGGAGGAGAACAGAAGTGTCCGTTTGTGAAAGCAAATGGGCTTTTTGGCTGTTTTTTTTGTTTCTTTGTTTCTTCCCTTCCTGTTCCTGGCCTATTTGGTGCCCTTTGTCTGACCACAGGGTGAGTGGCTGACGGTGGCCAGCTGGGCTGGAGCAGGCACCTGACACCCCGGACAGCAACCCCGGGCGCCCCCCGCAAACCGCCCGCCCGGCAGATGCCTCGCCGTGGAGACGACCCATAAACACAGTTGGACCCGCTGCCCTTAAGATGTTCATTTTCCCCGCCCCCAACCCCAACATCCAATAAAAAAGAAAAGGCACAAAATAAGTCCACAAATTACTTTCATTCAAGATGCTATTTTTCCATTGACCGTGGGCAGCAGAGGGGAAATAAATGCAGTCATTTATTTGATCGCCGCTCGCTCTCCAGGCTGTGTTGGGAGCAGCAGGGGTGCAGAAACCCTTTGACAAAGGCTCGGATTTAAAAGCCACTGCAGCCGACTCCTGGGGACCGTGTACACCTGTTCTCCCCCGGTCCCCGGGCCTCCTCTCGGGGCACCTGCCGGCTTCCTGAGGCGTCTGGTGGTCACACAGAGAGCTCCTGTCACGACTCTTCTACTGCTGACGGCCCGACGGTGTCCATCCCACGCGCTTCGGGGGCGTCCTCCTCGGTCCCCGGCGGTGCATCTTCCCTGTGCAGTTTCCGTGGAGCCTCCGCCCGTGCTGTGTTTTAATGTTTCTACGGCAGCACAAATCGCCCATTTTCTGGCTGCGTCTCCTGACGGCAGAGATGGGAGCTCGGTTTGGGGACTTGAATCGGATGCTCTGTTTGGTTTTCTTCCTGGGGCTGATGGGCCTGAGCGAGCGGCTTGGGTTGGTTCCTACAAAGCAGCTTGGACGTGACGGCGCAGGGGTCTCCTGTTCCTCGCTCCCTCTGTAACTCAATACCCAGCTGCCACTCCCCACGTGGCATTTTGGACAGTGGCACACCCTCCCCACCCCACAGGTCTCCCTGGGAGACCCCTAGGGCCCGCCCCCTGCACTGTTTCCCGTCCAACCACAGCCTTCTCTCTTATCCACCCCCCCCCCCCCCCCCGGCCCCTGGGAGCCCAGGCGCCTTCCTGAAGGCCGGCACTTTACCCAAACTGCCCCCTGGTGACATGGGAAGCTGTCGTGTCTCATCTAAGAGGGTCTGCAGCTCTTTTGGGGGCTTTGCTCACCTGAGACCGAGGGCGTCGGTGTAGGAGGGTGTCCGATCTCTGAAAGGGGAGCCACGGACGGTCACAACGGGCGGTCCGAGGACTCTGTGGCCGTCCCCTGGGGAGAAACGCTCCATCCGCTGCAGGACGGACCCCTTCAGTGAAGGTCTCCACCGAGCTCAAAGCCGCAGCTTCCACACCAGGGAACCTCAGGTGCCCCCGAGCTGTGCTTGCTGTGAATGTTACGATAAGTTTTAACATGTGCCAAAAATCTCTGGGCTCCCATTCTCCCCTCCTAAAAAATAATTTGTGTGTTTAGTCTGATCAGCAGCCCTGGCCTCCAGCTCCCAAGGGACAGAGGGACTGACTCATGTCCTCCGGTAGCTCCCCGAACCGGCGCTGGCTTCTGCAGCTCCGCCCAGGGCCACACTCGGACCCCCGATCCTGGCGATGGCGCATTGACTCCGGGCCACTGAACAGTGCGCTTTTAATGTGTGACTCATGCGGCAAGGGGGTTACGTCTCAGAGCGGCTGCTACACGCAAACGTCCAAGCAGGAGGAAGGGGCCTGACCGGTGCGGCTCCGCGGGTTGGGCATCGTCCCGCAAGGCCGAGGGTCCCCGTCAGGGCAGGCACCGGGGTGACAGATTTGGCTCCGGACGGGGTACAGACAAGAGGCGACCAATCGGCATTTCTCCCCCTCTTCTTCCTTCTCCTCCCCTCTCAAAAATAAAATTAATTAATTAAATCTTTTCAAAAACTGAGAAACGGCAGGTGCTTTTCAGTTTCTGTGAGAAGGTCACCTTCGTGTTTGGGGCCAGAGGAGGCAGGACGGACCCCTACAGAGCACGTGCCTCTTCACCTCGAGGGGTCTCCAGGCCGAGAGGCCCCCAGCGCTCGCCTCCAGAAGGCCCCCCGTTGGGGCGGCCGGACTCCCTGTGCCATTGTTCCCGCACAGCAGGGGCCGGGCGGGGCGGGGGGGGGGGCCCCGCAGGGAAGCGGCTGCTCTGAGATGCAGCAGGGCGCCCCTGTCCCCAGCCGCACTGTGTCGCTCCCTCTCTTTCCCGGAAACACCGATGGCGCCTCTGCGCAGAGGGACGGCCCGGCAGAAGGCCCCACGCCAGCCGCCTCCCGGTGCGCAACGCCGCCCACAGGGTTTTAATCCGCTGTCCACAAACACAAGCAAATACTAAATCACTGAAGAATTCATTGACTAAAATGGGGAAAATAACAAAATAAAAGATGCCACAGCCCCCCGCCCCCGAACGGGGGCTGGCACAGCTGGGAGAGGGTGTCCGGGCCCCCCCCGGGGCTGCTCCCCCAGGTTCAATGTCTCAGCCGAGCCGGCGTCCCCACCCGCTCTCTCCAGCCATGTGACAGGCCCCGTGAGAGACCAGGCTGGGGTGGGACACACTGTGACGTGCCAAGTGTTGCCCTTTTCACCCTGAAGCAAGGGTGGTGTTCACCCGAAGGCCCAAGAGGAGGCCCGCGGCACCCAAGGTGCCCCCAAACCAGAAGGCCCACGGCGCCCAGGCCTGACCCTCCCCAGCCCCGGCCTGACAGAGACGCACGGATGCCCCCCCCCCAGGAAGGAGGGAGACGAAGGCCGGGCACGGCCAACCCTGGGCAGGGGTGTGGCCCCACCTGCCGAGCCATCAGGAGGCAGTGGCCAGCGCTGGGGGCCCCACACCACACACAGTCAAGTCCCCCAGATACCGAAGGTGGAAAGGGAACAGGTGGGTGAAACAATGGAACAAACGAGAAGGTTTAAATGTTTATTTCCAGGTTAAAAAGGACACGCTACCCTGTGGTTAGAATATACTTTTAGGCTGGAAAATGAAGTCACTTTGTTTCTGAAATATTTCCAGGGGAAAAAAAAGAAAAAAGGGGGGAAAAATCCAAAAGTGATGACAAGGGAGATTAAAATGTTCTGGCAGGTCCCAGGTACAGTCCCAGGGCGAACCACGCCCACCCCGCCCGCCCCGCCCGGGGCAGCGCTCCTCCCGGTGTCGGTCCCAGGTCTCCCACGGTCAGTCGGGGCGCGGAGTGGGGGGTCTGCACACTGAACACTACGGATTGCATGCTTTTATTTTAAAAAGTGTATTTGTCGCAATGCACGGCTCGGTGTCCTGGTATATTGCCTATTTTACATACAAAAATAGCTGTTACCCGCGCGTTGGCTTGACCTTGCCACCACGGTCCCTCCGCACGGCGGGTGGCACGGTTACGTCACACACGTGAGTTTCTGATGGAGGGGACAGCTGCCGGGGGCATGACCCAAGTGATGTCACCGACGCAGACTGCAATGGAGAATGGGGACCACTTTTGAGATGAACAGGGCAGGAAGCCCAGCAGGGGACCCAGGACAGGGGAGCAGAGGGACCCACTCGCTGTGGCCGTGGACGACGGACAGAGGCTGGACCGTGGTCCCGCACGCCGACAGGAAGGTGCTGGTCTGGAACGGTGGACGAGACTGCTGATCAAAACACGCGAGACACTGTCTACAGATGCGGCTGCGGGGACGGATGCCGGCCCACCTTCCCTGCACCCCGCCCCGAGTGGGAGGGCCATTACCGCCCGGGCACCTGCACTGGCCAGGGTGTGAGACACGAGAGCCAGGGGGCCAGGAGCTCCCCCGTGTGGGGCGCACGCAGCTTTCTGAGGTTTGCTAGGGGGTGTTCTTTCCAGGGAAGGTTCCGGGAGAAACTTCTGGTGTCTCTTCTTCTCGCTTTCTCTCCCACGCCACAGTCCTGTGCTGTCCCGGTCCCCAGGGCCGGTGGAGCACCTGCCCCCCCCATGACTGAGCGTTGGCAGCCCGGTGCCCCCCCTCGGTGTGCTGGAGTCTGCCCTGGGGGGCGCTGCATCCGGTGGGGGCGGAAGGGACTCCGCTGGCGGGGCTTTTCCTTCACATCATCAACCCCGATCCTGTGGGCTCCTCGGAGTTCGTGAAAACCCGCAAGTTCCAGGGAAATGCACAGCCCCCGGGACACTGTACTTCATGTCGCCCCCCCACCTTTGCTGAAATGTTCTGGGGTGTCGTTTTCCTACTTGTGCCAAACTGAGCAGCGGGAAACCAAGCAGATGTGACCCATGGTTTCTGGTCAACGTGCAGAGCAGAAAGACCTGCAGCGAAACTCTGTCGAGGTGACTCCGTGGCTCCGTGGCTCCTCGCTGTCCACGCACCCACACACGGGGACACGTGTGTCTGTGTGCAGATATGGGAGAGTCGTGTGGTGACGGGACCCCTCCTCTAGGATCTTGCACTTGACCTTTAGTTTGCACTGAGTTTCAACACAAACTGAGAGGACGACTGTATCAAGCCTGTGTCACCCGAGGTGGCTCTTGTGGACCCACAGGGGACACCTCCCGGTGGCCGTCTGCTCCCAGCTCTGGCCCCCCCAGCTTGCCCGAGCCACAGCCGGCCCTCTGAGCTTTGGGGGGCTCCTCTCCGGGTGCCCTGGCCCCCTGACTCGAGGTCCCGCTGCTCCTGGAGTGTCGAACGTGCCCCACGGCGGGCAGGGCTCCGGAGGTTTCCGCCCGCATGGGGTCCACCCACCGGCCCCACCCACCCAGCCCCCAAGGAGCAGCTCGTCCCGCAAGGTGTCAGCCGACCTTTCGAAAACAGCCAGCGCTCGGGTCCCCAGCTTCAGCCCCTCACCCCACGTTTAACAGGAGATCGCCGGCCCCGGGAACACAGGCCTGCACCACTGGTCAGGTCTGCACCAGGCCGGTTCCGTGGGCCGGACACAGGCAGGACCCGGGGGCTTCCACGTCACGGCCGCACAAGGCTGGGCGGTCACCTTCCCGTGCGCGTGAGTCTCCGAGGGAGCACTCCGTGGCCTCTCCGCTGACGGGCCAGTCACCAGCCGCCTGGGGTCCGGGACCTGCTCCAGTGACCTCCTGCTGGTCCGCGCTCACCACTGAGGGCCTTTCCAATGACGTTTGTCCGGGATGCAAATGGCCCCGGGGAAGCTCAGAATGAGGCTTCCAGTCCGGCACCGAGGCAGCCCCCCCTCCACCACCACCATAAATAAAGTCGTCATCACGCTCTCTCAAGTTCAAAGTCTCGGTCTGCTTCACACAATTCACGCTGCTCTTGGAAAAACATTTGTATTTTAAAATTCTGTAGGAATCCTGCTTCTTTCTCGCTCTCTCATCCCTCTGACTTTCCAACAGCTCCATCCGGATCTTCATGAAGCTGCTCCGGGGGCTCTGAGGCAGCCCCCTGTTTTCATGGATTTCGGGCTGAAAGTCCCTCGCCTTTCTCCACAAGGCCACATCCCGGGCGGGTTTCATCACTGCCAGAGTCACGGCGGGGAAACTTTGTTAATGTTTGTTTTTTGGGGGGGGGTTGGTGATTGTACGGGTGGATTTGTACCTATTGCTAAGTTGAAACATCAGTCTATTTTAAAAAACAGGTCTGTTCTGGCAAGACGGGGAGTTGACTTGGAAGCTATTTCCCAGTTTCCTCTCTGGGCACATCACCGGCTTACGTTTGGACTTCAGGTCGGATAATGAGCTGAGCTGACCAAAAAGCACTTGTATAATAAATACAGCTGTTCGGAGACCTTTTTCCCCAGAAACGCATTCCCGGTGCCCCCACCAACCTCCCACGTGCGGAAGGTGAAACAGCGGCTGGGGGCCCCCAGCGCCACCCCCGGGTGGTTAAGTTTCATGTAGAAAAAGCGAAGAAATGCCCCCCCTGCCCCCCGCACAGCACGTTCACGGTTTTAGTAAAACCCCGTGTCCCCACCTGACACGAGAGAGTCGGACCACAAAAAGGAAGGGAGACAAGTGAGGGGAAGCTTCCGGAAGGTCGCCCCCAAAAGGGCGCAGCGTGTGAAGCGGAGGGAACCGGACTTCCTGCGTGGACACCCCAGAAAGGAAGTGGCGGACCTCGAGTGCGCCCCACGGGGAAGGACATGACGTGACTGAACACACGGACATCGAACAGCTCAGAGGGGAGGAGGGCAGCCAGGAACGTGGCGCGCCCTCCTGTCTCCAAAAGGGCCTCGGAGGCCGAGGGAAGCAGGGGCAAGCGTATAAAAAACCAGCGAGCAGCATCGTCCCGAAGGGCGGCTACATTCAGCATCTTCCGTGTGTGTCCCGTCGCGGGCCAAGGGCGAGACGCGCCCACTGTGCTTTAGAAGGTCGAGGAATAGGAACATCGACACCGAGTCTCTTCCCACTCCGCACCGCTGCGTGTCACGTGGTGACTAGCGGCGCGTGGGGTCGGGACGGTCCCGCTGGGACGGGGCTGGGGCCCGGCCGCAGACCCGCAGACGGGACCGGGGTGAGGGCGCGTCCGGGGCCCGCGCGGGGCAGCTCTGGAGACGTTCCCCGGCTTAGCCAGCCAGCCGGCCGCGCCAGCTCTCCGGGCCCCTGGGCCGGCCGAGGCCCGGGCCCCCGCCCACCCCCGGCCAGCCTCCACGACCTCGGCGCCCTACGTCACCCCCTATTGCTACCCAAGCTCGCCGCTCCACCGCCGCGAAACCAGAAGGCATAAAGGTGATACAAACGTGGCAGGGGGCTCACAGCTGGTCCTGCAGCCGCCCCAGGTAGTCTCGGAAATCGGGGCCGCCCAGCCCCACGTCCTGGCACACCCACTTGATGCTGTCGTCGCTGTCGAACAGGATGGAGTTGGTGTAGGGGCCGCCGTCCTCCGGCAGGATGGTGGTGTAGGACGTGAACTTGACCCTCTTCCTCCTGGGGCCCGACGGCGTGCCGGGCTCGTTCTGCATGTCCTTCTCGTAGACGTAGTCCGCCGGCCCGAGCAGGTGGCTGTGGAAAGGCTTCTGGGAGCCGCCGCTGAGCAGGAAGTCGCGCTCCTCGAAGGGCAGCCCCCGGTCGATGACGGTCGTGCACTCCTCCGACGGCAGCGTGGCGTCCGCCGAGCTCTCCAGCAGCTCCACCTCGTTCCCCAGCCAGACCCAGTCGTGGGAGTGGGGGACGGGCCCCTGCTCGCTCACCGAGAAGCGTTTGTGCCTGTACTTCCAGGCGAAGGCCACGCAGTTGGACAGGAAGACCAGGATGGCCAGGCAGAAGACGCCCAGCAGCGCGTACATGCCGATCTCCAGGTCGCTCAGCCCCCGGGAGGCCACGGTCAGGTCCCTGGACTGCTTGGGTTCCCGGGACTTCCCTCGAGTGGGGAAGCTGGTGAAGGCGTCCGGACCGCCGCTCCTTAGGAGGCCCTTGTCCTTTCTCTCCACCGGGGGCGACGGGGCCCCGCTGCCATTGGTCCTTTCCTCCGGGCCCACGGCGCCACCACGAGGCAGCCATTCCTGCGCCGCCCGCTCCTGGTGGCCCTCACGCTCTATGGCATTGCTGAGGGGGTCCGTGTAGTCCCGACTTATGCCCTCAATGTCATTGGTGCCTCCCTGGTGCCGGTCGATGTGTGGGTCAAACTTGACCCTGACGAGTCCTCTCCCCGTGGCCAGGACACTCTTCCTCTTGCTCTTCTGACAAGACTCGCTGATCATCATCTCCAGCTTGATCAGGGGCCCTTGCCCCTCGCCCTCCGCGGCCACCACCGGCCACCTGGGCTGCGGGTTCGCCTGGACAGACACCACCATCTCGTCCAGCGAGGAGACCGACAGGGAGAAGTCCTCGGGGTCGTAAATGTCCAAGGGCGTCACCGCGCCGTCGCTGAACAGAATCCAGGAGCTGACTATTGCTTCCTGAGAGAAACGAAACCAAAATGTCACATTATAATCAGGTTCTTCCAACTCGCCAACCCACACACCGCTTCCTGCCTCAAACCCCTCCACACAAGCAGGAAGACGAGCCAGCGTCCACTCTTGCCGCTCTCCCCGCCTGCCCGGAGCTGGCCCTCAGGCACGAGAGACAAACGCTCACTTCAATGAACATGCAGAGGGCGCATTAACCCCCTGGGCACCATGAGGCAGAACCTGACTTTGCCCCCCTGAAAACGCTCTGAGACACCAGGCAGTTCATCTGAATCAAGTCCAGGGGCGACTGCCAGCCATCGGCAGCTCACGGCGTCCCTGGGAGCCCTTCCTCCAATGTCCACACTGACGGAGAGACAGGGGGGCACCAGCCGGACGGGCCTGGGGAAGAGGCCTCACAGTGCCCACAGAGGCCTGCTATCCTCACGATGACCCGTGACAGTTGAAAGGGGAAGGAGAGTTTGAGCAGTGATGATGAAGACATAATAAGTAGTACCCACCGGCGCCTGGTAGCCACGCTACCGTGGAACTTCCAAGTCTCAAAACGCATGTGCTTTGGCAAAAGAGAAACGCGTGACCCTGTGGCCGTGGGCCAGCAGCAGATGGCCCAGGGGCACAGGGTTGGTGGACAGAAACATGCCAGGACTGTCCCTAAGCCCCTGAGCACTGGGAGGCGGAGCCGCCCGATGAGACACAGGAAGAAGCTTCCAGAAGCACCCACCAGCCCCGGCTCGGGGACTGTCTGCAGCCACAGGCCCCCTTAGCAGCACGTCAGGGAGCGGACAGGCCTCAGCGGGCCGCGCACCCAGGACCCCGGGGTCCTACCTGCCGTGGGGCCTGGAGGACTTCCTGGGCAGTCACCGTGGACACGACGGCCCTTCTGTCCGCCCTGTGCGGCTGCAGGGAGAGAGACAGGCCGGCCACCAGCTGCACGCCCAGGTCAGCGATGGTGACGCGGTCCTCCAGGACGGTCACCGTCTTCTCAGCCAGGATGGAGTCCGAGAGAGGTGACAGGACCTTCAAAGCAAGCAAGACGCTCCGGTCTCCGCCCCGCACACCACTGTGAACTGCACAGGGCCCTCCCAGTCCTCTGATCCCTGAGGGGTCCTGGGGCACGTCCGCGTGAGTACCGCGGTTACTCAGACCGCGGTAACGGCAGCGTATTTTCCAAGAAGAGCTTGATGGAATATACAGGCAATACCTACACGCTGCCCACCCCGATGCTCCTCACCCAAGAGGGGCATTCTCCTGCACATACGGCCTCTCGGGGCCCTTACCTTCTCCCTGTGGGAAATGACCGCAGTGTAGGGAGGGCGTCTTAACGTGGGGGAGTCCTCACTCCTCATTCCCCACCCAGTTTGGAACGGGCTGACGAACAGACGGAGCAAACTGCCCAGCAGGCAGAGCTCCGGGTACCGCTGCCCCCAGCAGTGGGTGGCCCGCCTCGTCCCTCACACGTGTGACTGGGACATGGGACCGCTCTCGGGATCGTGTTATATTCACACAGCACAGGCGGCCCGCACACCAGGGCACTGCCCCGGGTTCTCCAGGCAGGAGCCCGTGAAGGTGGGGGGCTCTCCCCGGTCACGGGTGGATGCCAGAGACGCTCACAGTGTCGGGAGGACTCGGGGGCATGGCTGGTGGAGCAGGGGCCAGGTGAGGAGGGCACAGGTGGCCCCGAGGAGCAGAGACTTCTGGGCTGACAGGCAACCAGGAAATGGGCCCCTCGATCCTACACCAGATGAGAGGTGCCCTGCCTGCAACCAGAGCTGATCACGGAGGAAGTCCCCTTCTCCAAAGTCCCCACCGGCTGGGCCACCCCTGTGGGTTGGGCCTGGTGGCCCCTGAGCTCAGAGCCCAGGGCTGGACAGGAGCCCAGCCCCCTGGACCGCTGTCACCAGCAGAGTTGGAAGCTGCTGACCTCCTGGTGGCTTGCTGCACAGCAACAGAAAAGTGATACAAAACGTAACCCGTGTAATTCAGCTTTGTCAACATTCGCCCTGGGGAGTAACAGCTGAAATGACTCAGCTACGAGCGGTAATATTTTAAGTTGTTGCTGAAACTGCGTGGCACCATCTCTGCCCTGTGATCCTGTCCATGCTGGCTGAAAGACAGCCTTACTATCGCTATAGTAGACAGCACTTCATGGCAGATGTTTACACTATTTTTAATGCAAATAAACGCTTTGTAAAAATGTTTCTGCCTACTCGTCAAGGTTGGCTAGATGGCCAACCCCTGGGGTTAGGAGAACAGAGGTGGCTCTCACGGCGGCCGCCCCCGCCAGCCACGCTCGGAAAGTGGGGTAGCTCGGGAAGAGGCCGCTCGAGCTGTGCATGCGGTTTAGCTTAGGTCAAAGAGCTTTGGTATCTTCCCAAAATCCCTCTAAAATGCAAACATGGGTTTAGGTTTTGGTGATTAACAGTGGCATCTCGGCAGGTGCAGCCCCAGGCTCCCAGAGCCCCGCCCCCCGCCAGCCCAGCACACCCACAGGGAAGGCCCCAGTGACCGGTACCTGGATGGCGGTGATGCCCGGCTCCCGGCCCACCAGGGTCCTGCCGGCCTCTAACTGAGCCACTCTCGGGTCCTCCACCGTCATGAACTCCACCACGAGGTCCGTGATGTCCAGCTGCCAGTCGGGGCCCAGCAGGTAGCTGGGCGGGCCCGCGCCGGGCGCCTCGGCCACGAACTGCGCCAGCACCCGCACCGTGGCGCGCTGGTACTGCAGGGCGCACCCGCGGCCCCGCCGCTCCTCGTCCTCCTCGTCCTCGCTCTCCCGCGTGGGCCTGGGCGCGGACAAACCACACGCGCGTCACCATCCCCACCAGGAGGCGGGCCACACGCCTCGAATTGTGGGTCCCTGACAGCATGGGGACAGGATCCGGCTTCCTCCTGCCAGGGCCGCTCAGGCGCCGCCCACGTTCACCCGCCTGTGCCCACGACTGTCCTGCGGGCACCCACGGGGAACACGGGAGGGGAGCGCGGTCCCTGTTCCCCTCTTCCACACACAGAGGGGAAGGCTTCTCTCTGCCTGGAAACCTGTAGTTTCAGAACTACCCCCAGACAGGAAGGACACGGGCCTCCGGTCAGCGTGGGGGCGGGAGCCCTGGGTGGGAAGTTCGGGGACCTATTTCCACTGCTCCCCGCTGGCCGTGGGCTTCTCCCCAGGTGGGCCGGTCTCCTCACCTGTGAGTGGAAAAAAGGCCGGATGCCCCTTCCCTCCCCCAGGTGTGCCTGAGACTCAGGTCAGGCACGGTGGGAAGACTTCTCTCGCCCTTCCTCTCTGGCTCTGCGATTCCACAACATCCCCCTCAAGGCCAACCTATTTCTTGCCCTTTTATGAGAGGACCTTGCCGGGTGGCTGCTGACCAGCCCGGAACCACCCATGAATGGGGGTTTGTGTCCAGACAGGAAGAGGCAGCCGCTCACTGGCTCGGAGTTAGTTAGACCTACTGTGCACTGCATCAGCCGTACACGCCCAGGTGGCGATGAGCGGTGACCCAGGGCAGCCACACACCACGCGCCAGCCACACATTAGACTGTTTCAGTCCCCACAGAAGCCCGAGGAGTGAGGGCACTTTATCATCCTGGCCTCCCGGTGGGGAAACTGAGGCGGAGAGTAGTGGCAACTGGGTCCCGGCCACACAGCTGGTCACCGAGAGGCCCAGGCCCCTGTCCTGGGCTCGGAGCTGACTCCGCTGAGAGTCACAGCGGCCCAGAAATGGGTCCCTACTTCCACCGGGGAAGCCAGGGCTCGGGCGGCTGGTAGCGAGCAGACCCGGAGCAGGCTGTGCGGGGTGAAGAGAATGTCTGAGAACCACGGCAAAAGCCACGGCAAATGTCCGCAGTGCTGTAACGGGGCGAGCTGCATCTCCCAAAGTGAGGGGTGACTGTCCTCACAGCGTGATTTGCGGGGACAAAGGGATTAAAAACACTGAACGACATACCCCAAAATGGTCCCCACTTTGTCTTCCAACCCTCTGACTCTGCCACCCGGAACGGCTCTGTGGGGCCCGCGTGTCTCCCACCGAGGTCGGCCCAGGGCCCAGGCCCACGTCCTGGCTGGCAGCCGCCCTCCCTCCCCGGCCCCTCACCTTCTGTTGGGGGCCACGGGGACCCGCCAGCCTTTGACCTGGCTCAGCTCCGTGTCTGAGACCTCAATCTGCAGGGGCAGCCGGGGCGCCCAGACGGTGACCTCCAGCTGGGCGGTGAAATGCTGGTGGGTGAAGCTCACGGTCGTGCCCACTCTGCCATTCATCTCCTTGCCGTTCACGAACACGGAGTCGCAGCGGTCAGACACCTTGGGGGAGGGGCAGGGACCAGGGCTGCATCAGCAGGAAATGCAGCAGCAGAGGCCAGAGGTGGCCCCGAGTGACCGAAGAGCCGCCCAGATGCCTGCAAGGGCGGGACCTGAACTGGAGGGGATTTGCAGGCACCAGCCAGTGACAAGTACCGATGAGGGCACCATGGGAACACTGACAAGCGAAAATGTAAACGTAATTCCACGGCGTTACGCAACCTCCGTTGCCTATCTGTGTGTTTCTTTCATTACCCTACACTTCTTTATGTACCCAGACCGCCGCTGATCAAACCCCGGGTGTATGTATTTCACTCAGCACCGCATCTGAGGCAGCATAAAGTAACTGTGTATTATTACTAAAACACACACTCGCTCCCTTTAGTCAAGCCATAAAAAGGGTCCCATTTGAAAACACCAAGAGAACTTGGCATTAGATTAAAATCCTGGCAGGAAAACACTCACAAAACGCACTACAGAGGTGGACGCAATTATTTCTGCCCCGTTCAAGGCCGGTGTTGCGGAACAGAAGTGAGGGGCTGCGTTCTGTGCCCGCCTGGACGGGCCGGGGAGGGGGGCCTTCACGTCACATCTTCCAGATGAGCAACTCAAATATTGACAACTTCCTCTCCGGGACCGTCAGGAAAATGTCCCTTATGGATCTAGTGTGTGGGTCTGTAGGGCAGTGGGCTGGGGGCGGGGGAACCAAGGGCCACTTAACCCGCAGGAGACTCCAAGTCTGCCGTCAGTTCTGCAAGGTGACAAACCTGAGACCAGCAGCGGGGCGGACGCACCGCATTGGGGGCCCTACCAGCCCCCAGAGCGCCACCAGGTCATAAGTATTAAGTGAGGTGGCCTGCAAAAGTCACTCTGCGTAATGCCTGCCGTAGCTAGGAGCTCAGAGACAAGACACCTGACCCCGGCAGCGTGGCTGACCGGCAGGACCACAGCGAACGGACCGCCCCCCACGCACCCTCATCAGCTCTGAACCGGCCCGGGGCGGGCAGAGCAGCCAGAGCAGGTGCTGATCAAATTTCCTGAGTGACCAGAGCCCAGGAACACGACCTCATCTGGGAGCAGGGCCTCTCAGGTGTGTGGGAGTTCAGGGACTTGAGAGGATGTGATTTGGAATGAGGGTGGCCCTACATCCAGTGACAAGTGTCCTTGTGAGACAAGAAGGACACACAGAGACGCTCGGATGAGACCGTGTGAAGACGAAGATCGGAGGGGCAGGGCCACCGGCCGAGGACCACCCGGAGCCCCAGAAGCTGGAGGCGGCAGGAAGGGCCCCCTTGAGCCCCAGAGGCGGCGCAGCGCGGGCCAGCGCCCTGACGGCAGGTGTCCGGCCTCCAGACTGGGGCAGGTGGGTGTTGGTCATGTTGGGCCACGGAGCGTGCGGCAAGTGATGGCGGAGGCGCCTCTAGGGAACCGTCACCCACGCGGACGTCGTGGGGATCAGGGCCTGGGGACGAAGGGGTTGCCCTGGGTTAGCGACCCAGTGGCCCCACGCCACCCCCGCTGCCCCGAGGTCCTCACTGGAGAGAGGCAGGGGGCTGAGCGGTTGCAGAGACACCTGTGGTGACGGGCGGAATGAGAGAGACTGGGGGAGGGGCCCCGGAATGTGGGAAAGGCCAAGGACCAGAGGGTCCCCGGGGCCACGGGAGGGAGAGCGGCCCGGCCCCCACACCGGGCTCCTGCCGCCGGGCCTGCCTGACAGCGGCTGTGCTCCTTCAGGGCAAGCCCGAGGTGACTGTGACAACAGCCAGTGCAAGTGTGTGCCTTGCAGGCGACAGGGGCAGACACGGAGCCCTCGCAATCCAGACAAAGCCCGTCACCCACGGGCTCCCAGACGAGAAGCCGAGGCTATTTTGCTCCCGGCTCCGAAGATGCCCCCACCCCCACCCTACCCGACCTTGGGCAATGACACCTCGGGAAGCACAGAGGTGCCACCAGCCTGCCACAGGTCCGGGCGTGGGGAGGACCCTGCGCCCCACCTTCTCTGCCAGAGAGAGCTCTTTCCTTCTGTGGAAACTCGGAAGGGCACCGTCACCTGTCCCCAAGGCGAGTGGTGAAGATGGACTGAGTCAATATTTCCAATGTCCTTATTAGGACGGTGCCTGTCACATATGAAGTTTTCAGTAAATGGTAACTATTGACTCTCATGGGCTGCACTTCGAGCCCCTGAGGACCTAGCTCGCGTGGAGACCACCTTGGCGGTGCCCGCGGCTCCTCCCCCAGTACCCGGCACGCATGGCTGATGACCTCACACACTGTCCCCTGCTGTTTGGCACAGTGACGCCTGTGAGGACAGAGTGTGGGTGGCTAACATGAGGGGGAACGAAAATCACTTCCGCTACAGATTAAGGTGGCGGGCTGAGAGCGGCCACCCCCGGGGCTGTGCGCTCGGTCACCCACTCCCACTGGGGTCATCCCAGCCGCAGCCCCTCGGGGCCTGGGGGCCGCTCAGTCAGGACCAGAGCCGGGGACAGAAGCAGGGGCCCAGAAGGACGGGGGGCAGCTGCTGTACCTTCACGACGTCTTCGTCCGCGGACGCGCACTCCACAGGCTCCGAGACGTCCACCACGGAGCCGTCCTCCTGGACGGCCACCACCTTGACGGGGACCGAGACCGCCTTCCCGGTGAGGACGGCCGTGTTCAGGATCTCCGTGTCCTGCACGGGAGAAGGGGCCCAGGTCAGCGCCGGGCACGCCCCACGAGGGCCGGGCGGGGGCCGACCGGGGGTCTTACTCTGCCGCGCCCAGCAGGCTGGGCGTCCCATAGGCAGCACGAGAGCCCCTCCCGAGCTTTGTCACGCTGTGGCCCGCGGCCACCGGGCTGGCACTGGCCTGTCTCCAGGGCTTATTACTAGCACCGTGCACACGGCCTCTGTGCCATTCCCAGGGAAGGAAGGCAGGAGCGCAAATGGCAGAGAACAGGCCACAGCACCCCTGCCCCGTGAGCTGACCGCCAGCACCCCGTGCCCCCCAAACCACCAGGGACCCCCGAGATGCACCAGCCGGCCGGGGGGGGGGGATGTGAGACGCTGACATCCAGGCGGTCCCTCTCTTCCCCTGATGGCCCCTCAGCAGGTGCCGTCTCCAGAATCACCTCCGAATGGCCTGTTCTCGCTGCCACCTGCTCACCAAGGGAGAGTCCTCTGACTCAGACCACTGCAGCTGCCCGGGTCCGAGATGAGCTCGGACTCTGACTCAGGAGCAGCCGTGCGGAGCCGCAGCCACGGGAACCCGAGGCCAGTGAGGTAACCCAACAAAGGCGTGTGGGCTTCTCGTATAACCAGGAGCCCGGAGGAGGCCAGTCCAGGCACTTAGCGAGCTCAGGGTCACAAAATGGTACCCATCACACCAGCCATCTCTCCCACTGTCCAAGCAGTGGGAAGCCTGAGGGGGTGGGAACACACCTGCTGCACCTGCTTCTTTTCACCGAATGTCCACGGCCCACAACATGGCCACGCCCCCTGCAAAGCAGGCTGGGAATGTGGCTCCTGTAACAGCGCTGGCCGCGGAGTTGGGGGCGTAAATACCTTTTCTAGTCCATTAGCAGCATCTATCACAAGTCACCTCTCCCTGCGCCAGGGTCCCTGGGCTAGACGAGGGGCCCCCTTGAGGACTTGCTACATGGGAACCTGTGAGTGTAACGGATCGACCTGCGTGCAGAGCTGAGGACAGAGCCGGGACCCAGGGAGGGACAAGCGTCGTGAGCACAGCCATCGTGGTGCAGGCTGTCACACACCGGCTGCAGGAGTTAAGGAACCGCCACGGGGTGCCCTTGGGCACTCGGAGGAGACGCCGGGCCCGCGCCCGGCTGAAGAGGAAGTCACGCACTGAAGGTGGCAGACAACCGGGCAGCCCGGCTCGACGGTGAGCGCCACCAAACACTCCTTACTGGTGCCCCCAGAAATGACCAAAATAACAGTTATTCCAAGTGACCCTTTCACAGTTCAGTCCCTCGTCCCAGCCCAGCGCCACATTCGGCTTCATGAGTCAGCCCCTCGCTCTCCCACCCCAGGCCTGAAAAAGGGTAAGAGACTGAGTCAACTAATAATAGTAATAATAATAACAGGAAGAAGAAAGAAGAAGAAGCCCTAGCTGGTGTAGCTCAGTGGACTGGGCACAGGCCTGCAAACCATAAGGGTCACCGGTTGGATTCCCAGTCAGGGCACAGGCCTGGGTTTCGGGCCAGGTACCCAGTGGGGGCCACATGAGAGACAACCACACATGGATGTTTCTCTCTCTTTCTCCTTCCCTTCCCCTCTCTCTAAAAATAAATAAGTAAAAATATTTTTTAAAATAATGAGAAGGAGAGGAGGAGGAAGAGTTCTAGGTACTTTACTTGTATTAACAATTAACTGCCCCTTCAGTTTTCTCTAAAACTCTCCCAAGGTAGCTACTAGTATTATTCCCAGTTTATAGATTGTTTTTCATTGATATTAAACCTGAAAATAATAGATATTGTCAATAGAGAACATCAACTTTGTCATGTATCTTTGAAAATGATGACAACCCAATATTAAAAGATTTTTTTACGTTTGTTTTTTTTTTTAATTTGTCCTTTCCTCAGCGAGATAAATCTGAAAAAAGAGAACTACAGTGCCCCTCGTGAGCACCCCATTCTCGCCGGGGGTGAAACATGCCCTCCTGTGCATCAGAGGTGGGGAGAGGGGGCGGAGAGCACTGTGGAGGTTGGGGCGCAGGCTCCCCCAGCGGCAGTGGGGGTGGAAACCAGCAGGGTGCACACAGAGAACAGACCTCACCCCGTGACCCCAGGCCAACTTGCTAAGTTCATAGCGCAGGTGAAAAACAACCACGTGGGCACTTCGTGGCTGTTGGTGAGCAGGCGGTAGTTCCGCCCGGTGAGCCCTGGGGATGTGGAACCCCATCCTTCTTGCCTCTTTTAATGACATCGTTTTCCTGTGGGTGCCGTCCCACTCTGCCACCAGTGAACGGTGCTGATCCCGGGCCCCCGAACCAGGCTTTACAGCACATGAACCCGAGGTGCCCACCAAGGCCCCCCAGCCCCGTGTCCACAGTGACTGACTCAGGCGAAGCCCAAACAGAGGAAACCAGAGGCGGGAACGGGAGAAAGAAAGAGTCCTGGGAAAGTTTTCTGGGTTCCTAAATCCAGCTACATCTGCATCTTTCATCTTTGGAAACTTGGGTATGTAAAATACACGGTTTTACTTAAGCCAGTTCCAATATGTTTTTTTTTTTTTGTCACTTGCCATGGAAAGTCTCGACGAATATGCATGAATGAGATTAGGCGACCTGCTAGGATCCAGGGAAAGCGAAAAGCCGAAAGTAAATGTCACTCTCTGTCTGCCCTGTGGAAGTTCACAGCCTTCAAAGGAGAAATTACACGGACTTCCCCAAACAGCGTTTCAAGACAGGTGACTTCATTTTCCGTAACAACAAATCACAAGGAATCCAGACTTGTGCTTCTACTTCAAATACCTTTTTAACCATCCCTCCAAGTGTGGCTGGGACGCTTGCAACTATGTTTCCACATGTGCCTGGGGAGGGGGGCTGCAACTATGTTTCCACATGTGCCTGGGGGGTTGCAACTATGTTTCCATATGTGGCTGGGACATTTGCAACTGTATTCTCCAGTGTCCATCACAGCCTCTCAAAATTCCCAAAGGCAGTTTCTACCTGCCTAGGACACAGCAAGAAAGCAGTTTATCACATTGAATAGGACATTTCAATCATCCCCTGGTGCCAGACATTGCTAAAAATTCACCGCCTGTCACCGTACAGGCCTGGTCACTCGGCCCTCGCCTGTGCCAGTGCCGGGTTTCGTCTCGAAGGCGTATTTACATCTCTTTGTGACGATGAGATGAGTTCCCACCGATGTGGGGCACAGGGTGGCATCGTGGACACCAGCAGCGTGAGGACATCCAAAAATCCTCTTCCCCAGAAAGACAAGGACAAACCTGGCACCAAAAAAGTCAAAATAGACTTTTGCAGAATTCTGGAAATAAAACAAAGGCTTGTGCAAACAAGAGAGCATTTAGCCGAGAAAAATGGCTCAATCTTGGTAAAAAAACAGAGAACTCTGTGGCATTTTAACTTGCCTCACCCCTAGTCTGACTGTCCAGCTCTGCAGTAGCTTTGAAAAATGACAGCCTGCATTCACAGGAGAAACCAGCAGCCCGGCGGCCCCCGGAGACGGCAGATCGCGTCTGGGGGCCCTTCAAAGCTGTGTCCCCAAAGCACTGCTGTTACGTGACTTGCCTGGCGGGTCCTTGAAGATCCCACACTCGAGGCTGTCAGTATGGACCTGACCCTGAGCTCACCCCACTCGGGAAGTTGTTGCCCTAGAGGAACTTGTTGAAAGTAATTACTTATCACATGGCCCACAGTTCCACTCCTGTGTTTCCGTGTGTGTGTGTGTCTCCCAGAGAACGCACGTCCAGCACCCACTTCTACGGCATCGTTATTCCTAACGGCCACAGTGGAAACAGTCCGAAAGCCCATGGGCTGCTGGATGGACAAATGAAACGTGGGTGTGGCCCTACAATGAAATATGCTTCGACCATAAGATGACACTCCGACACCTGTGACCACGTGAATGAACCTCAAGAACATGACGCTGGGTAGAAGGATCCAGTCGCAAAGGGACCTGTATTGTGTGACTCCGTCTCCAGCCATGTCCAGGGCAGGCAAACCCACAGGGACCGGAAGGACACCAGTGGTTCGGAGGGGCCAGAGGGGAGGGGCGGGCAGAGAGCGGCCGGCACACACACAGTACACAACACTGGGCCACAGCCAGCACTGTCAACTGGACTCATGCAAATGGTTCATAGGTGAGAGAGCTTCAGTCTCCCTACCTGTAAAAGCAGAAATTTTTCCAAAGAATTTATTTTATTTTATTTATTAAAGAGTTTATTTATTTATAGAGAGAGGGGAAGGGGAGAGAGGGAGAGAAACATCAATGTGTGGCTGCCTCTCATGCGCCCCCTACTGGGGACCTGGCCTGCAACCCAGGCATGTGCCCTGACTGGGAACTGAACCCAAGACTCTTTGGTTCACAGGCCTGCACTTAATCCACTGAGCCACACCAGCCAGGGCTCAAAGAATGTATAAGGATGCCGTCAGACAAATGAGAGAGGTCTCCTCTTTGGAGACACCTCATTCGGTTGCATTTCATTGTCCCCTTGAACTTGGGTGTGGCCATGTGACATGACCTGGCCAATGAAACGTGAATGCAATGACGTGCTCGCCTCCAGCGGAAGCTCTAGGATCACAGGACCCCACGCTGTCCCTTTCCCTGCCCCGGTGACCGAGGCTGCTGAGTGGGCCCCACGCGTCATCCCGGGCCCGGGAGCCCGGCCACAGCAGGCGCGAAGCACCCCACCTGCCCATGTCGGACATGCAGGGCGAGCACGGACCAGCCTCCATGGTTTTAAACCCTTCAAAGCTACTTAAGCTGCATGGAACTTTCCCGCACATTATTTTGATCGTGCATCTCAGGCTAAAGATAAAAATATCTGGGACCAAACTGACTGAATTCTAGTTACACGTGCCTTCCGCGGTGATATGGGGTTAGCAAGCCCCAAAGCACTCCAGTTGATTCTAGGTTTGGGCAAATAACACACGCTGTGCGAGAGCGCCAGGCTCCTGACCACCAAGTGGCGAGGGCCACGGGAAAGGGCCG